AAGTGTTTTCATATGTCAATGGTAGGGAGTATTATAACCTTGAAAGACATAGGTTTGATAACAAAGACTGAGCTGGAGGTGTCCTTCATACAATAGTGCAATTTATGGACCAATCATATGAATATAAGATGAATAAATATTGTTACTTAAGCTTCATATGTCCTTAGTGACGTCCTTTTAGGTGATGTACAGATGACATGGGGGCAGACTGAGGAGATGTGGCAGTCATTATCACCCCCAGAAACACTTGCACCATACACAAATCAAACAGTGGGCTCAAGGTGGTTGCACAGAACAGCATTATGGGAAAGTAGAATCTTATATAATGATTTCACATGTTGAGTTGGGGGTTATAAATCCACCTCTGACATGTTGAACCTTCTCGATTAGTCCACAAATTTGAACTCCTTCTTCTAAGTCCTTCTCTTGAGGACTCTTGAGTTACATTATTCGTATATGAAAAAAATAACAAATGAGAAATGCTTTGTGGTGACAATATTTGAACATCTGAGTTTCTTGCAAAGCTCCTTCATATATAATCTTTTTAAAATACCAGATTTTGTGCATCGTTTCATGCTTTGCCTTACTGCTTACATTATAATTTGAGTAATTTCTTTGACCTCTGTTTTTGTTTTGAAATAACAGTATTACTTGACAATTTTCAGATACTCTACCCCCCCTTGTCTCTATATTATGGTCCTGTTGGCACTCAGCAGCCTCCCTCACAGCAGGGGGCGGACCATGGGGCATATGGTACATCATCACGCCATTTTTTGCCCCTAGATTTCCTCTTAATCTGCCTCTGCCTCATTAGCTCTCTTATCATTGCACTTTTAAAAGTTACAGTATAGAGATTTACAGCTACTGCTTCTGGCTGTATTACAACAAATGAGCTTTCAAACTTTTCATCAATAAGGACACTCCGAGTCTAAATGTGGGATGAATGAAACTGAAAATGTTACTGCCATTTTCCTTGGATGAACTGCAGGTCTTAAAGAGTTCATTAAAAACCTTATCCCATTTCACAGACAGACACCAAGTGCGAACTGGGCTTCTCTAAGTGTCGTTTTCAATTCAGTTTTACTACCAGGCACATGCTGAAAGTGGTTGTCAAGGCATTTCTGCAGTAACTGTTCTCCAGAGACCTTGGCAATCCAATAAATTATGTGTAGTAGAGTTCAGGCACACTATACACACAGATAGAGAGAGATTTTACATTTTACAGATAAATGTAAAGATTGATTTTGGAGTTTTGCTGTAGCATTGTGCTGTTTTTGATCAAAGTTTAGAAATAACTGACCACATCTTTCTTAAGCATTTCACTTGACTGACTGACACATATGAGTTACAGGATCATGAGGTCACATGATGTCTGGACAGGCCTAAGCTCCAGCAGCGAGGGCATCTGGAAAAGCACAAATGACCTCTCTCCCTCTCTTTATCGCATCTCATCCTTAACTCTCTCTCATTACTCTTTCTCGCTCTCTCCTCTCTGTCTCTCCCCCTCCATCTCTCTTTCTCTCTCTCTCTTTGTCTCTCCGTCTCCTTCAGTCAGATGTTCATCTTCTTATCTGGTGTAATTACAGCATTAGACTCGTGCTGCTGTGTTCAGACTTTCTGAGTCACAGTCTGATTGTAGTCGCCCTGTGTCAACTGTTCTACTTCTACTTTTCACTTCTTTTACTCATATCATATTTATCCAGGGTGGCCATATCACCTTAATAATGTGATTTTATTTAATCACTAAAGCTATAGGTTTGGGCCTGGAGTCTGCTGGTAACACTGCAGGCTCCACAGTGGCTCGAGTGCAAACTGGTCTTGCCCGAATGCGTCGTGTGACTGACTAGTGGTGGTGGAAGAGAATCTACCAGTGGTACCTACATTTCACATTGCTTTTCTACTGATTGTTCGTGACATACATTTTCAGTGTATACATTTGTGCCACCTATATTTCTAATAATCATTCATGAGATTCTGCAAAGCCGATTAAAGCATTAATCTTGGCTGCCACAATTATTGTACTCACACAGTCCCTCACAGCCTCAGGTGGAGACTTGACTGGTTTATTTCAGACTTTCCTCCATCTCACTCACTATAATTCCTGTCTGACCCCAGTCCCATAAAGACCAAAAATAAATCTTGAAAACTGAATTGTATTATCTGCATCTTCATTTCTAAATAATAAATAAATCCGTAAATCGCATTTATGCAACCTCCACATAATGGGATTATCTCATATGTCTCGTGATGTTGCCATGGTTTCATAACCCGTACTCTGACCTCTGACCTTTACATCAGGCACATGCCGCAAATAACCGTTACAATCACACAATACAGGGAACTGTAATCATTGTGTAACATTATTCAGATTACAGGCACAAATTTGAGTGGACGTACTGTACAGTTGGGCACAATATTTTTATGTAACTAAATTAATCATTTTGTCTGGCTCTCTTCCTTTTAATGTTATTAGTATTAGCAGGTTACAACTCAGTGTGAGTACAGGCTTAACCCTGATTATGAAAGAATGCATTTTGTGTAAGGTATTTCTGAGTAGTAAGAGCACCTGAATAGATAAATGCCATGTTATGTAACATTATAGGAAAAGCATTTTCATCTCTAAAGAGACAAGCAGGTGGCATACCCTCCACCAGAAATGTTACATAGTGTCCCTTTAAACACATTATTTAAACATTATAGGGAAGACTGATACTTTATGTTTAAACTACAGGGTTAGCAGCTTTTATAGATCATGATATGACCTAATATTTTGTTGTTAATTTTGTGTGAATAAGATGTGTTTCATATTGCAGCCCGGTGTGTGGTGTGCCTGGCATCAGCAGCACTATAGGGGGAAATGGGAAATACATGTTGTCATCTGAATTTGTGATTTAAGCTCGGACACTGCTCCCCTCCAGCCGTGCGCTCTGGATCACAAACAACACTTGTGCTGATGTGTTCTTTCTGCGCAGGGCCTGAGGGAGGTCTTCACAGGCAGCTCACACAATGTATACGCCGTAGAGTAACACTACAGAGAAAAATGGAAACGCTTTTCAACCATATCACATATTTGTCACATATTGTGTAGCATACGATGTCTGCAATTTCACCGTTTGATGGGAAAATGAAAAAATTTGAAAAGTTGTCTGATAGAGTGAACGCATATATTCAACTTTTGATAGTAGTGCAGCTATCCATGGGTTTCCAATTTATGACAAAGACCATTGCCAATTTGAAATAAAATATTATATCTTTTTAAAGTGAAAAAAAAAAAAATCCCCAAGTTGTTGCAAATAACAAGAAGTTGAAACCCATGAATTTGGAGGCTTTGTTTTGACTTTTTTATGATGTAAACTGCTACTTTATAACAGGTTATTTTTTTTTTATCAGATTATTAAAAATGAAAATGTATCTGTAATCCAACAAAACATATTATAATCAATCATGAGGAGTAGCCTATTTCAAGTTTAACAGCTATAAATACTCATGCTAGAACAAAAATACCACATAAGCTGCTGTTGAAGAGATTAACAAGGACTGAATAGCAGACAATAATAATAAAAGACATGAGTGGGAGGGATGAAACATGGAAAAGAAGGATTATACAAATGCTGCAAATGCTGAGCTGTAGTAAGTCAGTGGGACACGTAAAAGCTATGCCATAATAGTTATAATGCATCAGTCATATAATGTTTAATGGGAATGAAAGTTATATTACATTGCATTATTCAGTCATCAAGTTATGCCAGGAACCAAAAAGGGACATTGTGACCCAGATCACAATTTTGTTATCCACCTGTCACTCACTATGACTCAAAAACATACCAAAGTTGTGTTTTGTATCATTTGTGTTTAATGCAGAAATCTGGTATAATTTACCAGATTTACCAGTTCTTCTCTAAAACTGAAAACACTCTGGTCCACCTTGTGATGTCATGTGGTAATACAGGAAGTGCTCCACTGTGTTTTTAAACTCCATGCATCTTCACTAGAATCATTTGGATGATTTCAGCCCCAGAATTGCCAATCTCACCTGCACTAAAGGTAAAAGGCAGCTGACAACAATCCGTGTATCATTCATTCATTCGTTTTTTTTTTTCAAAATAAAACTAAAAATAAGAAAATGAGAAAACAACAATTTTCTTTATTATTTGACTTCAAAACCAAAATGAGAAAACAGATAACGATATTTTTATTTTTATTAATTTTTTTTTTTTTTTTTAGCTTTCAATTTTGTGTTTAAATGAATAATGGAAAAAACGGATAACAGCTATTTCTCGTTTCATCCACTTTGGATTCTTATGGACTGAACCAGGACTGAACCAGGACTGAACCAGGACTAAACCAGGACTAAACCAGGACTAAGGACCTTTCGCCTGCAGTCACCCGACAGTCTAGGCAGGTGCACCTCTGAGCCTGCCCTGACAATCTGTCCTGGTTCAGTTCTGTTTAGTCCTGGTTTAGTCCTAGTTCAGTCCTTGTTTAGTCCTCCTGGTTCCGTACTGGGATCAGTTCTGGGATCAGTCCTGGTTTATTCTCGATTCAGTCCTGTTCAGTCTGTAAGGGACAAAATTAAATGAAACATTATCAATTTTTTCCATGATTCATTTAAACATAAAATCGAAAGCTGAACAAACGAATCATTATCCGTTTTTTCATTTTGGTGTTGGAGACAAATAATGATGAAAATAGTTGTTTTTTTTTTTTCTTTTTTTTTTTTTTAAACAAATGAGTGAATGATACACGGATTGAAAATTACCACTACATGACATCACAAGGTGGAACAGAGCATTTTGAGCTTTGGAGTAGACAGACTAATAATTACGGATTACTCAAACACAGGTACGCAAACACAACCCCAGATACATCGCTTAAAACTCACAAGAGTCTTTTGTGTAATATAGGACCTTTAAGATTTTAATTATATTTATTTGAGAGGTGTTTCTAGGCATTGTTTTGCCCTCTATGCCAACCAAGACTACATTTCCCACAACCACCTGCTGTCATCAAAGTGAACATGCCCTGACATATCACTCCAGAGTTATAAAGCAGGACTTATTAGAGCGCACATCTCCTTTGAGTTCATTTGGCTGGATTTACTCAACACAGACAATCTCATTTTCCAAAATGGTAAGTAAAATTATTGCTTAATTTGTGGTTAACTCTATAAATATACAGAGGCATGATTCAGTGCATAACTTTGACATTGTTCTTCTAAGTTGCTGTAACCGGATAAGAGCGGTTCGTGTGAAATGGCATTTGGGATGATCCAGGCCTGATTGAGTCTGATGACATTCAGCTGCTTCATGGGATTTAAGCCTTTGTTAATTAGTAATTACAAACACATGGATGTGAGCTGGAGGAGCTAGCTCAGGGCTAATGCTAATGTCAACACACGCAGGTTTATGCGCTTATCTGCACCTGGAGACACATTCTCATAGAGCCTGATTACACTGTCCGATCAATAATGAATCACACACAGATACTACATCATTTACTGTACTATATGAGCTAACCTACAAAAATAACCTCCTGTGTTATTAGACCTGTGTCCACCACCTGCTCGACATCCTTGAAATGTTATTTACCTTTGCCTGGAATGTTCCATATTCACATCTCTGTCTTACATTCGTTAAATTGCAGGCATTTTTAGAAAGAAATACCTTGAACAAAAACACGTTCTTACTGTGATTCATTCTTACTATCTTGTGTCCACATCCTAGGCACGACAGAGTGAATTTCTTACTTTGCAAAGGAGTTGTTTTTTTTTCCAGTTACAATTAGATATCTATACATGCGTGATTTAAGGCAGTTAACAATTTCTTAAATAATAATATATGAGAGGAATAAAAATGTAAAGAGCTTCCGCCGTTAGAAAGACTTAAAATAAATAAATAAAATCATCATCCAATGTGGGAATGTGAAAAAATATTGAAATATCGATATATCATATTGTTAAATGTGATGATACTGTGTTGATATATTGGGCTGCTGTATCGGGTATGTTTTGGTGTATTTTACTATATAATTTTGTTACAGCTCTACAGTTTTGTGGCTTGTTCAGTGGAAGGAAACTCGTTTATGCAACACATTTGACATTTTCACTGTTTTGATGAGTAAAATGGCCATTTTTCAAATGAACTTTGCACAAGAAGTGGTTTAACAAAGACTTTTATTATCACAGCCATAATTTAGCCTTTATTTTTTACTGAACCATATCAAATAGTTTTGAAATATATCAAATCAAAAGTGCACTGTATCGAGATATGTATTGTATCGTGGCTTATGTATCGAGGTATGTATCGTATCGGCAACTTCTTAGTGATACCCAGCCCTAATCCAATGTGTGCAAAAAAAATCAAGATTTTATTTTTTGGACGTATCGCCCAGCCCTGAGGCATGTAGCATCTCCATGGAGACAAGCAGGTGATGGACCCTCCACTAGAACAGCTGGTAGTGGGTTTTATTTAGATTTTTGAGAGAGACACAATAAATAATGTATGATAGTTAATAATAGTTGCATTAAATTTACTGAAAGATATTGAAAGTTATTTGATCATTTACCACTTGAATATGACTTAGAAACTGTTTTACTGCTGTTGCTGCAATCGGCTCATGCACTGAACAGAATCAAGGACAAACAAGCTGATGACTTTATTGTTGACTGGAGTAAATTTACCATCACTTTAGGCTGAAGACAAAATGGATGTAATTGTAGGTTAATTATTATTATTATTATGTAACCAAATACCCAACAGAAACACATGTCTATGGAAAGTGACTCCCCAAATAATGACCTTTAACCTTCTGCAGACACCTGTGCTCCTCTGCTCAGCTGTTCAGACCAAATTGTACGTGTGCATTTAACAGGTGTCTGCTTCCTTTCCTGTCACGGTTTAACTGGTGTACGGCCACAGTAGTAAAAAGAAACAATAAAATAAAGTAATGTTAACACAGGAATAAGCACAGTAGTCTTAGAGGTTTTAGGCATGGGCGATGAATTGACGGCCAATTGACCAAAATATATACAATCCAATCCAACTTTATTTGTATAGCACAAAGTGCTTCACAATATACAATAGCAATATAAAACATTTTACTTTAAAAAAAAAAATCAGCAGAATTATGTTTCAACCATAAGGAAACTAATAGAATAAATAAATTAAATAATAATAATAATATCAATACATAAAAGCAGTACTAAAAAATAAAATAGATAAAAACAATAAATAAATATAAGAAGTATAAGTAGTAGTAGTTAGAGATGTAACAGTATCCAAATGTCTTGGTACGATATTATCATGATATGCATCTCATGGTACGATATTTATTGCGATATTTTGGAGAGGCTGATATAATTGTAGATAGGACACTTTTTTGCTTTCAAACTACCTTGACAAGATTTTTGTGTGACTTACTACTGTCATAATCCCAAGAATTCAAATAAAAAACATATAGCTTCATGTTTTCTGCACTGAAATGAATCATGGGATATGTAGTTCCCATTGTTTATTAGCTATTGCTATTATAAACAAATGCATTTAGGCTAAGGAACTTGTAATTCGATATATTGTGACGCCCCATGGTATTATTGTGAGACTTTTGACGATACAATAGCACGATATTTTGGTTATATACATCCCTAGTAGTATCATTTGCATACCAGTGCTGAACATTTTGCAATCCATTGTGTGCTTGTTGTTTTCTTTATTGAGGTTAAAATATTGCACAGAAAGTAAATAAACGAAATTATGTGAAATTATGTGCATTGTGCAATTTTCAAGGTTCTCAGCTGCTTGTCTCCATGGAGATGCAATTACATTTCAATTAAGCTTAGAAAAACAAGCAGATGGCAACACCCGGCCAAGATACAGGTCAGATCTATGGAGAGGGGACCCCGCCCACAGAAAGAATGGATGTTTTGAAGGTATTTTTGAGCAATAGAGACATCTGTTGTGTTACTGAATAAATGCAAACTAGATGTAGATGTGCTATAAGGTCTAAAGCAAAACAAATGCCATGGCCCCTTAATTAGAAACATTGCATAGTCCACTTTGAATTGAACAGAAACCATGCTCCAGGTTTTTCAGTCCAGACCAGCGGTATTGTTTGACTTTCCTGTTTGCTCTCCTCTCTTCCATGTCTCCCTCTCTCCCCCCTGGAGTTTTCATATCATGTTTTGGCTGTTTGGCTGTGTCCCTGTCCAAACCAGCGCTGTGTTAATGAGTTTGTTCTGCTCTGGCCTTGATCACAGGCTCTTTTCACACCGGCCCATTCACACACACACTGCTCTAATTGTTTCCCATTGGACACAAACAGGATCCATCACAAAACTAGCGCCTCGCTCAGACAGAGCACAAAACAAGCGCGCCTCACAGACACTGAATGAGCCTGTGGTATGAGGAAACACCACTGAAACTAAACACTGGAGTAGGAGAGGATGAGGAGGGCCTTTTGATCTTCAGGAATAATAATATGTATTACTTTTTGTGTAAATAAATCACTATGTACTTTTTTTTCTGGTGGAGGATCATCGGATTGCCTCCATTGCTGTGCCTGTAATGTTCCACAATATGACATTAAATTAATAAATTTTCAGATTTGTGTTGAGGATAGTCCACGGATGATTTTAATGTATTTTTGAAGCATCAAATATCCATGTAATTGCATAAATCAGGTTAATGCCATACTGAAAATTCCAGACAAAGCAATAACATCTCCAGGAAGTCAAGCATGTTGCGAACTCTAAACCGGAAAAATTATTTGGCAACACATCACATAATGTCATATTCTAAGGCCTTTTTAGACTTTTAAAACTGCGTAGTTATAAGACATTTTTATTCCTGCCAGATTGGATTTTTGAGCCTTCTAAACCTGATTGCAATTATAACGGTGTAGTCATAGGACAGCACACATGATGGCCTTAGGGTTTGGCCAGTCCTCTGCTTGTGCCTGACTAAACTTTAGGCTGTATTAAATAAAACTTCAGATGAATATTGATAAGATTGATTTTAAAGTTTTAAAGTCGCGTGGCAAATCCGGAATGCTATCTCTGTAGTTTTATTACAGATGTATATCAGTCTGGTCCCCACGCCCTTCGTTGACTCTCAGGTCCAGCCAAACATGATCATGCAGACAGATATGTTTTTCAGTGACGCATGTGAAACGAAGGAACTCATTGGTCACATACCTTTTAAAAAATCAAATCAGATGTTTTTTTCTATCCCCTGTGATATTTTGTGCTTTATTTATTCTGATACAGTTCACATGCATGTCCCTAATTGGGTCCGCCACGCCCATTTGGAAACAGGCAGATTCATGACCAGACTCACATCTTCGTAAAGTATTAAAGAAGTGTGTATTCTCGATCCCGGGGAAGTTTAAAAGGTAAATAGTTTGTGGAAAAACACAATTAAAATAGCCAAATGCACAACCCAAAGTAAAAACAAAATGTTGAGTTCGTTAAAACTCTGCTATAATTCATGTGATGGCCTTGGATTTCACAATTAATAAACACAGTTTTATAAAAAGACTTAGCTTCAGGCAAAAGTTAATCCTTCAACATTTTACTGTTTACTCAGCTCAGCGTGTCCCCAGAAACCAGACCAAATCCTCCCACTGCTCCACACTAGACCAACAAAACACTCACAGGCTACAATTAGCAGCAGCGTACAGGCATTATCATCTAGCTAGAGTCTATAATACTTTACCATGAGAACACAGCGCGGCACAAACAGTAGGCTGCCTCATGGTTTCGAGTTTCAGTGACTGTAATAACGCTGACCACATGGTTCGCTCACAATGATGCCGCAGGTGCAGAGGTAAACATGGCTAGAGTTACCACATGATGTCAACAGTGTAGTATCAGCGAACGCCTGGACCAGAAGTCATGATGTCATCTGGAGTGATAAGAAGAAGGCAATATGGGGGACGCGGGAAGAAATATGCTGGCTAATGCAAACGTCACTTTAGGATACGTGATACCTATTCTGAATTTGCAACTTCTGCATCATCCACAAAAAATCAATGTTGGATTAAATGCACTGTAGTCTAACTGTGGGGTTTATCTTCCATGTTGATGATTAACTACGTAGATGAACTGCAAATTTAACCAAGCAAGTAACTGAGTTTTGCATAGTAAGTGTTATAATTCCAACATTTGAAAGTGAAGTTTAGACTTTTTTAAATTATTATTTTTGGTATAAAATCAAAATCCATACTTGTCTTGAGTGCTCTTCATTTTAGTTTATTAAAGATGTTTTAATTGGTATGAAAAACCCTGATAAGCATACATTCTTACTTTGTTTTTTAATTGCCTCTTTGCAGACCTGACTTGTAACATGGCCTGGTGGTGGCACCTGCTTGTCTCCATGGAGATAGATAAATGTTATGCCACACTGTGGAATATACGCCAGGAAGGGGCAGTGATGGAAATTATAGCTTTGGCCAAAATCCTGCATATTTATAGGTAAGGCTGTGCAATTAATTGAATTTTGAAGTTTATTTTGGGATATATTTAATATAAGTATGTATATTTATTTTAATTTTTTAAATATATAGATTATAGAACAGCTGGATAGATGTTTACTTCGGATACATTTCTATTTTTCTCTGCCTTATTTCATGTTCAAAGTATATTTTATTCATTTTATGTTTTACACATTGCAAAACTGCTTTAAGGTACATATTTGTAGCCTATATTTATTTTCAATTTGAAAGTTTTGCATAAAATATCAATAACAAAGTGTTTTTTTGAGAGAGAAATGCTGACAAAATGCATCATGTAACTAAATAATAATTGTTTGAGTAATTGTGATTTCAATATTGAACAAAATAATCCTGATAATGATTTTTTCCATAATCGAGCAGCTCTATTTATAGGTATGTTCTGTTCTTAATATGCACAGAATTGAACAAATACAGAATCTTGGTTTGGACTCCTCCACTAGAGAAGTTTCATAATGCATCTTTAATAAGTTGAAGCAAAATTATAATCTACAAACACTACTACTACTTCTACTAATATCTTGTTCTCCTGTGCCTAGTTAACGTGTTGTTTTGGTTCGGCTTTCTCACATCCAACTTCAATGAGTGTTGTTTTTGCATTCAGTGGCCTCTAAGCTTTGCTGGATAGGAATGCCCTTGTACATAGACACAGGCCTATATTCCCAGCCGCCTCTGCAGCAGTCAATCAGAGCACACATGCATGCACCGGACACAATAGTGGTTTGATGAGCAGACAATAGGGCCGTGAGAGCAGCGCCGTGCCTGTCTCCGTGGCATCTGAATATATTCCAGATCCGCCGCACAGAAAATGCTTTGGTTTTTTTTTTTTTTTTTTTTTTTTGCACCTCACGTCACCAACTTAGGACAAAACAACACAGCGTCTTCCAAAGTCCTTCTTGTGAAACGAGGCTGAACTTTGCCCACACTTGAGAGATAAAAAGTTATGATAACAGATATACACTCTCTACCCCTGGTGTGGTATATGGAGCTTATCAGAGCTGGAACAAGCTGCACACGCCTCTCAAACACACTGACTTTGGGCACGTACACTGGCACCACTTCAGTCGTAATAACTCTAGCGACATGCTCCTGATCACATACAATGCTCACCAGTCAAGCATGGCAATGTAGCAACAGTGCGGTGAGAAAAGGAGAAAATTATTACCTCCCTGTCATGGCCCCAGGTTGTAGGAATAGACTAAGCCAGTGTTTCCTAGCCAGGGGTACAGTGAGTTTTAAAAGAAATGTGGAATTTTATGAATAGAAAATATTCTTTAAGGGTCCAATATGATACAAAATGGCTTCTTCTGAGCCTTAAGCCATGTTATAATGCCATTCCTTCATCAAAAACATACCTGGGGTTGTGTTCTGTTTGATTCACACATGTTTGAGTAATTCTTTATTATTAGTCTGTCTGCATCACCAAACCTCGAAATGCTCCCTTCCACCTTGTGATGTCATGAATTGGGAATATACAAGTAAACTGATTTCGAGTGACTAACAAATACAGATACAATAATATAATGTAAGTGTACTCAGATTGAAACGACATGTAGGCCTACTCAAGATGTTGTACTTTGTAGAGGGTGATATGGGGAAAAAATCCTAGATCAAGATGTGTACATTTTAGGCCCCATTCACACTGGTACGTATTCGAGTCATTTTCGTTGTGGATGCAGTGTTCTTCCACACTAATTCAATGGAAAACAGCTTCAGAGGCGGAACGATCTGGTGCCGCTGGTGTCACTGTGACTTGCGCCTTCCTGATTCACTGGGTTCGTGACGGCGTCAGTCATGTGACGCTCTCGCGGAAAACAGTTTAAACAAACCACAGACAAACAGGAACCAGCGTAGCTAGAACTAAGTGCACAGATCAGACTCACCATTAGCAGAACACCCCTCTGTTACAGAAAGAACACATATATTCCCCTGAGTTGTGTCGTTTTTAAGTCCGCCAGAAGCTGACCACATCAGAGCACAAGGAGCGAGCTGTTTTTTGAGCGCTTTGTTTATGCAGAGTAGCCATGTGGGTTTAAGTTTTGTTTTTGTAAAACGTACACAAATATGTGCAAAGCTATGTGGATAGGGAAGGCTTGCGGACACAGAAGTGATGTGTCTGGACGCAAATAGTTTTCGATATGGTAATGTAGTGATTCGTTTCACACTTTAGTGTAGCAGGTAACTATAATGTATTTTTGAGGGTATATTTCACTCTCTTAAGTTTGGCTGCAGCTAAATCACTCACAGGCAGAAGTATGGAAAAGTACTTTGTGTGTATGTGTCAGTCAACCAAAAAACCACTGATTCACAGGGTCACAACACAATTACTTTTCATTGTACTGCCTGCTCCTAAAGCAGTGCATGTCCTTCATTTTGTCCTTAAAGCTCCGCTGTGTAACCTTTTGGCCAAAAATAGTCTGAAATAAAATTTCTTGGCCTGAGGAGAGCCTCCAGCTGACCTGCTTGTCTCCATGGAAATTTTGTTCTTTTGCCTAAAACTTCACAGAATGGCAGTGTGTCTCTATGGAGAATGTTCCAACGTACTAACTTTTTATTTCCATGGAATGATGCTCATAATGGGCCATCCTAGAAAGTTACACAGTGTTACTTTGAAAGAAGGAAGGGCAAGAATATGACAAAACTTTCAGTCTTGCAGATATTGTGGAGTGTTCCAAATTAGAAAGAGTCCTCATTATTTAAAGTGGTCCAAATAAGGAACTGGGGCAGGTGATGCACTTTTTTAATGTTGTTTGTTTTGTTTCCAATCTTTTCATCAAAAAACACACACACTGCCAATGCACTAAGGCTGGGTATCATTAAGAAGTCGCAAATATGATACATACCTCAATACAGTGAGCATTCAATGTGATATATTTCAAACTAATCTGATACGATTCTATGAAAAATAATGGCTAAATCATGGCTGTGATACTAAGGCTACGTTCAGACTGCAGGGCTTAATGGTCAATTCATGTTTTTATTTTTTTTATCAAATCAGATTTTTTTGCAAGGATGTTCACATTTCCAATTAAATGTGACTTGTATGTGATCTCCAGTGTGAAATGCCCCAAAAGTTTCCTGCATGCACATTGGCGGATATGACAATGTCGTATAAAACAAGGTTTTTGGCCATGGCATTTTGTGGGGCAGTGGCTTCAGTGTCCGTAGAAAGGAACGTGTGGGTGATGAGTTGCAGCCAAGAGTGGTGGGATTGCTATGCACTTCACTACTTCACTCACACGGAGTTCATACACAATTTTCCTATGATGAGAAGAATGTCCGCGAATGTAGGATGACTTCAGGCTAAAGTCACATGTCAAAAGATGAAAGGTCACATTAGAAAAAATTGGATCTGTGTCATTCAGACTGTCATTAAACAATCAGAAACAGGTCCCATAGGGGCGAAAAAATCAGATTTGGGTCACTTCAGGCTGCAGCCTGAATGTAGCCTAAAAGTCTTTAAAAACACTTCTTGTGCAAAGTTAATATGAAACACACCTATTTTAATCATAAAAACTGTGAAAATGTCAAATGTGTCACATAAATTTGTTTCCTTCCACTAAACAAACAACAAAGCTGTAGCGCTGTAACAAAATAATTTAGTAAAATATACCCAAAAAATACTCCTGGTGATATATCGATACAGCAGCCCACGATATCAATACTGTCAAGGATACAATATATCGATATTTTAATTTTGCACAGCCCTACAATGCACCATAATATGTATTTGTTTAGAACAAAAACAGCCTGTACAGCAAAGTCCAGAGAGTTCAGTTCTTTGAGGTTTGAGGTCAAGTCCTTCTCTGTTTCATGTGATCGATTAAAGGTCCACAAGCCTTCATGAACTCGTCTCGCTGATGTGACAAATTGTTTAAACATTTATGGAAACAGAGAGGTGTGGTGGCCTTCCATTCCCTCAGAAAAGCCCTCTTTGCGAGAATCATGCCAAACATTTTGCTGAATTGCCTGGGAGTGTGTCAGGGTTTGATCCAACCAGCCAAGCACCACAGCCAAAACATCAAGCAGTATCATTTTCATGTATATGGTACTGTATAAATGAAATATCCATATAAATAAATGACCAAGACCATGAAACATTATTTGCTTTACACCTGTCACACAATGGTGAAATAGAAGAGACGTCTGCTCAGTTTAGTTTTAGAATAACGCAAACTATGGATAACTTTAAACAGTATAAGCTGGGGCCTAGTGTTTATTGAACATAATTTGATCCCACCTAAATCTTTCTCCTATAAATCAACAGAAATCTCTACACCTATGTCATTAGCCCAGACTTCTTTGGTATGTACAGATGGGGTTGGTTTGTAGAAAAGGCTAACAAACTGTGAAATCAAATGCCTAGATTTTTATGGTTTTCTCAAAAACTCGTAGAAGTGATTTTGGACAGGTAACCTATCAAATTCAGTAAGAGCTTGTCTGACAAAATGCCTAATCTGCAGGCACCTGAAAAATGACTGGATGGAGATTGAATTTGGCTTGTAACTGAGCAAATTATGCAAACTCATTATAAAGTCATTAGAATCATACATTGCCAGTTTAAATGCTGGATTTTGGCATATAGGAAAACAAATTGATAGGTTTATGAAACAGGCGATGTACTTTACAAACTGTGAAAAAGTGATGAGTCTTAAATGCTTCTTATGAGTGAATATTGTATTAAGAAACAACAGGTCATGGCAAGGTCACTTTTGCCGCAATTTGGGAAATATTTCTGAGGGCCTGTTTACATGAGAACACTTGCGGGTAAAAACAACAAAATATTTTATCAGAAGTGGTTTCATTTTAGACGGTTATGGCGTTTTGATGCTTAAAAATGCAAAAATCTGAAACCACCCTCCAGAGTGGAAAAGTTGAATACGCTTCGCCGTAGTGTTTCCGTCTACACTGCCCAAGACGCAAAAACTCTGGTCTGATCTGTTCACGTCACGTACACGTTTA